AAAAGCAATGAAGTACCACAGATCAAAATACATGCATTTAAATGGAAAAAATAATAATAATAAAAAAAAAAAAATTTCACCTCCAGCCCCGCCAACCATCCCTCATCACAGATCCATCAGGTGTTGTAATTGGCTATAACAGCTGTGTTATAAACACTACTCCATTACATACTGGCGGCGCTCGAAATAGACCAAACACTTAATGATGCATGCACCAAAACAGAACCTGCCTCAAAATTCATTTCTTATAAGTGGGTCCATTTACAGCTTTCATCTAACCTTAATCGTCACAACTGGCTGGCATGAATCTGTTGCGTTGATTTATCTTTACTGTGCACCATAACTATAATCAAAATCTTGTTTTATTTTATGTAATAACCATATTTTTAGTGCGCAAAACTATCTCCTAGAAGGGTGTACTAGACTATACCTTGAGAAAAAAGTTGTACGTATGATATTTCGAGAATAAATAAAATAAAATCATAATATTTTGTAATAAAATGGTAGAAGTACGACATTAAAGTGGCATTAATACCAGGAAAGGTTGCAATATTGTGCCCAAAGGCTTTGCCAAGGGAAGCAGCACCTCCTCGTGTTAAATGAGGGGCGGTGAGTTGGTGGAGTTCTACTTTCATATCGATTCACCCATAAAGAAACACTCAGCCTCCCTGTCTCTCCTGCACATCAGCACCAGCCTGTTATTAGGATAAGAACCGGCTGAAACGGCTGAGCAGGAAACTTCATGTAGAATAAAGAGCCAGACGGACTCGGAGGAAACTGTCTGTCTGTGTTGTTGACGGAGAATCGCAGGCAGGGTCGTCTACACGGCTATCGGGGCTACATCTCCCCCCATTCAAAGAGGGCATGGAGTTTCACAGACGGTGAGAATGAAGATCAAAATGATCCACAAGGAGTCAATGAGTGTGTGGAGGTCCGGCACGCCAGTACAGCAACCGGGACACCAATGCGTTATGGCAGCCCCCCTAGTTAGACCACTTTATCCTTAAAAATAAGCCTTCGAAATATTACGACTTCATTCTCAAAGTCTACTATTTTCATTTTTATTATCAGTGGCCCAAAAACGCCGTCGTCATTAACGTAGGAACTGAACTTTGTGTTGGGCACTCTAGGTGGTCTAGGTGGGCTGCATTTCTAGACCATTGTATCATCGGAAGCTGTTCCAATCAGAAAGATCTTTTCAATAGGATGAATTGAGGAACGCAGCCTACATTACGACAACTTTCGACAGCGATGTAGGAGCATCTTTCATGGTGTTGGTGTTCACCTTTGTGCACGTAAATGAGGAAATGCAGTTTGATGAAATAATCTATTATACATGCTTTACAAATATATACAGTATGTTGTTTGTTTACTGTTTAAGAGGGTGTAAATTGAATGCAGGGTATGGAATGCACCTGCTCTCAGTGAGCTGAACAGTTTTAGCCTTTAGTACAGTACTTTCAGCCAATTTAATGTTTTGTTATTCATACCAACATTTTCCTTGAAATCCTGCTATCACTCACATCAACAGTTCTTCAAATTTCATGTTCCGACTCCTTTTCTGATGACGTGATCAATCAGCCGGGGTGGAACGTTCCGTTCCACATTACGTGATGCCTCCACAGAACCGTGCTACCAAGAACACAGCCTATTTTCTCTATGTGGAGAAGAGCAGAGCACAAACTAACACACTGCTTTCCAACGCGGACCTCACGGCCTTCAGACGGTCCACATTTTTCCTTCATCCCCATGTTGTGAGTTACCAAAAATATGGACCACACATTTGGTTACTGATCATTTTAAAAGTATTGGAGAAAGACTAATTTAAACAAGCAACCTGCACATCTCTGCTGCAAATAAAGTCCTGAACTTTGTTTTCAACAAATGCCATTTAAGAACAATGTAGTTGAAAGTGTAGTCAGTACAAACGTCAAAACTAACCCCTCTTGACGGGTCTAGCGGTCATAGCCGCTAAAACGTCAATGCCAAACAACTAATTCAACAGAGTTCAGGTTGATTTGAACCAGATAAGCTCTTCAACCTTAATACATAAAAATACAGGGAGATTCACTCGAAAGAGGCCCCGAATATTCTGTAATAACTCTCACTAGGACGAAGCAATCTGAACGAAACAACGTGCAACGTGCTCCTCAGTATATGGAGCTTCGAGCAAGCCAGGATGCCCCTGCATCGGAGCATTTGCAACTTCCGGGTGGGTACCCCCGTACCCCTTTATGTGTCTGGCAGAAACTGAGATCACTTCCAGCATCATATGTAAAGCAATCGATTACACATACGTCAAGATATGTAGTGTATTTTTTTTGGTTCAGATTTCTGCATCCTAACAGGAGTTACAACAGAATATCCAGGGCCTCTTTCAAGTGAATCGCCCTGTACATGCATTTAAGTACATACGATTAGTGAAAACTAGAGCTGTGCAAACCAGCGCAAAAATGGCCTGTTTTGAATTTGTATGAGGAGATATGGACTTCTCTCATTGTTTATTTGTTGAAGCTTCGCCACATGTGGAGTCTCAGCTTCAGACTGGCTAGCTCTCACTGCGAGTTGTTGACATGCTTCAAAATGTTGTTTTATTACAGCCACCAAGAGGGAGATTAAAACAATACAGATGTGAATTCTGTGACTTACACAAAACTCAGTAAACACTTATATTTGTGGTATGAAAAAATACATTTTTAGGGCAAATCTTGAGAAATATGTATGTGCTGTCATAGAAGATGCTGCTATAAGAATACAAGAATCAATGCTAACTTATTTAACTACATGAAATAGCCGTGTTACCTTTCACCCATCATTAGTTTGTGCCCCACTCTCCCCTCGCCTTGGTCATCACATAAACCAGTGTTTCTCAACCCTGGCCCTGGAGGCCCTGTGCATTTTGTGGTTTTCCCACTTTAACTCAATAATGAGCTGCTAACAAACTGATTGGTTGGATCAGGTGTGTTGGGACGCAGGGAAAACACTGAAAAGTGCAGGGCAGTGGGCCTCCAGGACCAGTGTCCAGAAACACTGATTTAAATGACAAACCTCAAAAGTGGTGTGTAATATTGAGTGACTATAATTAATATGAGCAAAAAGTAGATTAAATTTCTTGAGGAAAGTAAAGTTTAATTTGAGTACCATCATGTGAAAAGTCTCCGGAAAGTACAAATCCATTACATTTATGCTAAAATGTACATAACTTAATAAATGGAAGTGGTTACTATCCGTCCTACAGGATAATTATTACGCATGAGCAGAACTCCAAACCACTTTTTTTATAACGCATTAAAAAATATTCAATAAATCAAGTCAACTACGGACAGCTACACACCTTAAAATCCCTACAAATTCATTCTACTTCTTGTCCTTCCTTCTTTCAGCCTAAGCATCCACCGCAAAACAGGCTAAAAATAAAATAGACACAACCAAAATGTCTTAATTTTAAAGGGGAATTCCACCGACTTTTTAATATTTGTGCAAAATTAAACAGCTAAGTTGTAAACAAAGTCGTTCAGAGTGGTTTGGCGTGAAACGCTCCGTTCTAGAGAAACTTACCGAGTCGGAACTGTTTACAGCGATGGTGATAGGAACCAGACGTCTGTACAGTTTAATACCTTTCACAGAAAAGTTATAACGTTATACTGCACATATTATGTATATTTTTAAAAGGCTTTGATGGTGGAGGGGTACATGAAGGGCGTTGGGAGGCAAAATAGCCCCCCAAAAATGTACTTTTCCATATTTACGACTATTTTACCATCATCAACATAAAGCTAAGAAGACACCTGTAGGTTCACTGGTGGTTCTGGATGGTAAATAAATTGTCTATATTTGTGTTGTACACATGGTGACCCCTGGTTCCTATCACCACCACTGTAAAGACATCTGAGTCCGAGTGTCTCTACAAATAAACCAATTCACATCAAACCGCCCTGAATGACACTTTACAGCTCAACGACTGAACTAGACAGAAATTTTGGGAAATCGGTGGAAATCCCCTTTAAATTGATCACGATTGAATCTATAACGGTCAGTGGATCATCGTCGCACGTGCGCACACGCTTCCAACTGAAAGTACTACAGAGGAGAGCGAGCGCGTGCGTGCACTTATTTTTTAAATCTCAAAACCAGAATTACTTCCAACGGTCGATTTCACTTTAACTGAACGTAGTAATGCAAACCTACAGCCGTCTTGCTGCACCTAAACAGTCAAAAAGCACCTTTTAAAAAAGAAAAGTAAACGTTTCTGCTCCTAAAAGCAGTGCTGAGTGGATGTTTATGGAGGGGTGATGTACATTTGAGGCCCTTTTTGCTTTAAAAAACCTCCAAAAAGTGACATTATGTTAACGGTTTTCTTCAAAATATCGTTAGTTGCCGACTTTAACGTTACCAGCTCTCTCCCTCATAAGCAGGCAGGAGGAGCGGGGTTCAATTTGCACTTCGTTTGCGAAAGATTAACACATTAACCCGCCTCTTTTTCGCATTTTACCAGTTTCTGAACTTAAAAAAATCAAGATTCCTCGCCTGCTTTTAGTCGGCTGGCCTGGGCTCGGTGCTGGGGCCACGGCTTTGCGCGGTAACCGCTCGCCGGCTGCGGAGCTCAGACTGCGGCCAGGCTCGGTGGAGGTGGCGCGGGGGAGCTGGAGGTTAGCATGGGTGTTCGGTTTTGCGATCACTGAGCAAAATGAACGAGCAAAAACGCGGAAAATGTGAGAGGGGAATCTCCCTGAGCCACTGCTCCGCTCCCGACAGTCCTCCTCAAGCCGAGAAAACATGAGCTGTGTGGGCTGAAGGTTTTTAAGCAGCCCGTAACATCAACGTTACTCGCCTGGCTACAACGCTTAACCTAACTAACTGCAGCACAACGGCGGCAGCAGCAGACAAAATCAACCAGCCAGCCAACCAACAAACAAACAGCGTGCAGACCTCGCTTTAACGCAAAAAACTTCGCTATGAACCCCAAAAACGTGACTGAACTGTGCCTCACTGTAACTCACCCAGTCATGAGAAGTTAGCCGAGCTGCTTTCAGCTTTCAGCGAGCTGTCTTCCACCTTTAAAAAGATAAATAAATAAATGGAATAAACACAGGAGCCACGAAAACTCGCTTTAGCCCAACGGCTAGCACGGCTAACCACATTCAGCGGCGCATCAACGCGATTCGCCAGCTTGCTTGTTCGAATTCTCCCGTTCCACCTTAAACGCTGCAGCGGCTACATTCGGGCGTCTGAGGCGCCCGAATGTAACCGCCGCATCATTTAAGGTGGAACGGGAGAATTCGAACAAGCAAGCTGGCGGATAGGAAGCCGACTTCAGCCTCGTCGCATCAACACACTCACTTTCAGCACTTTTACTGAAATAAACAAACGGAGAATCGCTTTTTAACGAATGAGCGAACAGTTTGTTGTAAAATGTAAGCCGACTGCAGCAACAGGTGAAGCGCGGACACATTTTTTGGTTTGTTTATTTTAAAAATAAGGGCCCAGCTTTAGCTTTAACTGGCTACTGTTGTTAGCTCGCCGCTAAGCTTCACGTTAGCGAGCTAGGCTAACCGCCGAGCGATGGTTTCAACTTTTCTTTCCCTCACGCCTTTTTTTCCGCGTCGCATGGCTTTAATGCTCGGGGCCACCTCTTTCAGGTGTTGTGTGCTTTTTAGGGGCGAAGAGCAGAAGGTGGAGAACACTTTTGGACGGGAATAATTTGAGGGTTTGTGAAGCTTGAGAATCGTACTTACCTCACTTCCGCAAAGCGTCTGCTGCACAGTCGGCAGCTGCCATGTTTCTCTCCACTGAGCTGAAGTGTGTGTGCGTGTGTGTGTGTGTGAGAGAGAGAGAGAGAGAGAGTGAGTGAGTGTGTGTGTGTGTGTGTGTGTGGGAAAGAGACTGAATTGAGACTGTGTGCATGTACTGGTCACTTTATTAGGGACACCCACCTTGTTTCTACACTCATTGTCCATTTTCCCAGCTACACTGACCATATAGGAGAACTTTGTAGTTCTACTATTACAGACTGTAGTCCAGTTTGTTACCCCCTCTCTCCTTTCACCCCGTTCATCAATGGTCAGGACCACCACTGAGCAGGTGTTAGAGTGGTGGACCATTCTATGGCTCTTCAGAGGTTCTTTAGTAAAGGCAATGGTTATATATAGAACCATTTAATGCTGAAAATTGTTAATTGGTGAGATTGTTCTTCAGACGGATGGAGAATGTTCTGTACATGGCACCGAAAAGGGTTCTTCTCTTGTTAAAAGCTTGACATAGTAGTAACAGTAGGTGGTATATAGAACCATTTTCAAAAAGGTTCTGTGTAGAACCATATACAATACACTGTCCATCAATCTGAAGAACCACGGCACCATGGAAAGACCCATTTAAGCATGGAATAGTTCTTTGTGTGTTCATGGTTCTATATAGAATCATTGCCTTTACCAAAGAACCCTTGAAGAACCATCTTTTTTAAGTGTGTGCCCCTACCTTGTATCTACATTCATTGTCCATTTTATCAGCTACACTGACCATACAGGAGCACTTTGTAGTTCCACTATTACAGACTCTAGTCCATCTGCTTAATTGGTCACCCCCCCTCTCCTTTTACTCTGCACATCAATGGTCAGGACCCCCACAGGAACCCCACTGAGCAGATGTTATTTGAGTGGTGGACCATTCTCAGCATGCTTAAAAGCACACTTAAAAAAGATGGTTCTTTAAGGATTCTTTAGTGAAGACAATGGTTCTGTTTAGAACAGAGTTGTATATAGAACCACTGCATGGTGCTTTATAGTACCAAAATGGGCTGTATATGGTTCTCTATAGCACCAAAAAGGGTTCTTCTGTTATTACAAGCTTGACATTGTAAGAATAGCAGAATCCCAGCTGGTGCTTCATAGAACCAAAATGGGCTGTATATGGTTCTCTATAGCACCAAAAAGGGTTCTTGTGTTGTTACAAGCCTGACATTGTCACAATAAAAGAACCCCTTTTGGTGCTATATAGAATGATTTTGGAAAAGCTTCTATGTAGAACCATAAACAACACATTCTCCATCGATCTGAAGAACAATTTCAACATGCACAGAACCTTTTAAGCATGCATATGGATCTTTGCGTGTTTGTGGTTCTATATAGAATCATTGCCTTTACTAAGGAACCCTTGAAGAACCCAGGAGGATTATTTGGTGGACTGTTCCTTTAATGAAAGCCAGTTCCACTTCACTGAGAACCCTGGCAATGAGAAACATTAGAAATACTATATAGAGTAATAATGTAATGATAAATGTAAGTCTAGCACATGTACGAAAGATCCTGGTCTGGTTCCTGTTTGTTTTTAACATGTATCCAAGTTCAGCCCTATCAGGTTAATCACTGCACCAACCAGTTTTGTGTCTCTCCTGGTTTTCACTGATATTTTTGCACTAAATAAGTCAGACAAAGTACCTAAGTGAAAAAATAAAGACTAACCTGCCAGTGTAATGATGGGACCAGGAGTCCGAACTAAAGAGCAAATGTACAATCTGTTTGCTGGCAGGTTCTCAACTAATGTTTCTCAGCTTAATAAACAGCAGATCAGTTAATCAGTTAACGTGCTGAGTGAGTGAACCATAATGTAGGCTTAGACAGTTCCCTATAACCACACCCTTAAAGAGGAATTCCACCCAACTTTCAGAATCTCTTCATAATGCAGTAGCTGAGATTCAAAGTCATTCAAAGAGGCTTAAAATGAAAATCTGCTTTTGGGAGAAATGTATCAACGTGAGTTTCTTTACAGTGGTTGTGATGGGAACCAGGGGTCGCAATGTCTGGAATAACCATTTTATTTACTACACTTTTAGAAATAAAGGTACATTTTCGTTCATCAAGGTACAAACGATGTAAATGTTCCCTCAAAAGGTACAACAGTGGTTTTAAGGTCCAATTGCAAACCATATTTGTACCTTTTCATAACCGAATGTTTTAAAACAGAACAATAAAATAAAAAGCCTGGAGACGAGACGGGGTGTGTGGAAAATATAATTCCAGGGGATTACGGTACAATTCTGTTCCCTGACTAAAGGTACTGAGATGTACCCTTGAGAGAACCACCCCAGCAACAAGAGGGGCACTGCCCCAGTGACAGTTTAGTGCCTTTTGTTTTGAGAGTTTATCCAAAACCACCAGTGAACCTACATGTGTCTTCCGAGTTTTTATATGTAAAGCTGATGATGGTAAAATAGCAGAAAACCTAAAAAGAAGTTTTCTTTGGGGACTTCTTGGTTTTTTAACACTTTCTCAAAATCATCATAAAACAATGTCTCAGACATCAGGCTGAGTATTCACGTCAGACGTCTGGTTCCTATCACCACCACTGTGAACAATATTAACTCTGTATGTTTCTCTAGACGGAGCATTTCACATCAAACCCCTCTTGAATGACTTTGTGTACATCCTAACCACTGAATTAGAGGAAAAATCGGTGGAGTTCCCCTTCAACTGGCAAATTAAACTGATCACAGATGTAAGCATTTAACCAAAATGACGAATGACTGAAACCACTCATTAATTTTTCCACTGAATAATTTTGGGTTTAATTTTTCGGCCAACCAAAACCAACTGACAGACGTGTTTGGGAATCATTCTTTGAGTACAGCATTCAAAAATCACAGATACACCTGTCGTTGTTTCAGTCGATGCGCATTGAAAATAAAAAAAAGAAAGAAAAAATAATAAATCAATCATGCCATTATATACAGAAAATAATGCCTCGAACTTTAAACAGCTGTAGTTGATCCATGTGTCATTTTTTTTTACATACATTTTAAACGAGACGGCTTTAAATGTGCGCCTGGTTCTTCTAGAGCAGCTCTGCATCTACATGCAAATAGAGTGGAGCTTCGGCCTAAAAATCACATCTCTCCTATCAGCATGCACTTCAGATCGGGTTTGGCTTGCCGAATTAAAAAAAAATAAAGATATAAACATTATAGTAAATCACATTACCTCTTCTGGAATAAATAACATACAACGCAGGAAACTCTGTGTTCGTTAAGTACTAGTACATTCAGATATAAATCGGACATCAGTATCGGAGCATGCAGCGCTGGAGGCCTACGGAAACAGTGCAAAAACAGAAAGAAATAAATGTCCTTTCCTGAGACTATTTAGTGCTTCGGATCCCTTCGTAATCTCAGGCGGAACGCTGAAGCGTCCGTTCGCTAAGGCGGACGTTTTCCTTTTTAAAACCGGACGACAAGCACAGTACGACGTATTGGAATTCTTCACCTACATAACTCACTGACGATTCTTCTCTATTTGGTCACGATACATTTGTAATGTCCTCGGCTGCACGTAAAACTCAAAAAGGTGTTTTTCCAAGATTCTACCTTAAAGGAGCGATAAGAGGCGTTTTCATGGTTCGCTGGACTCGAGGGGTTGGTAGGAGGGAACTCTTGCTTTTCATCCAATCAGAAAGACTCACTTGCACAATATTACATCTTTGATAATGTATAAGGGAAGTTTCACTTATCGCTCCTTTAAGCCTAACTAGTCAACAGTGCAGACAGAATGTGGACAGACAGTGCTGTATATACAAACATGAAGCGTATTCTGAGACACATTTATTCCACTTCTCTGCGGTAGGAATGGTTCGCGTAGGGAATCAAGACTGTGGTAGAGGTGTCTGCTCGTAGTGAGGGGTGAGTGAAGGCATGGTCAGGCCCTTTGCTCGAATGCTTGAGAGACAAGAAAGAGTCAAGTGCAAAATAACAGATGTTTTCCAGTCCCCTATTAAAGGGCAGCAGTTTGATTCTGCTACACACTGCGCGTCTCCACTTCGATCTTCTCCTCGGCCTGGGAGGTGTCCGCTTCCTGGTGGCTGACGCTCGGCCGCACTGTCACCACCGGCCCGCCACCGTGGATGGAGTGGAGGAAGTTCCAGGTCTCCTCGGAAATCTGCCCCGAATCGGCACCTGTTGAGAAGGAAACCATTCGTGAATAAAACCCATTAAGACCCATCTGGTTTCTAGCTCTAATTTTACAGCCTGTAAGATGATTTCTGCACTTAATGTTCATGTATTAGGGCTTGGTGGCTTAATCCTAACCTAAAACAGTGAAAAACTGCTACATAATGCTGCTTATACTGCTGAGAATTTCCTAATGGGGGGGCTTGCGGCTTTACCAACAAGCGGTCAAGCTCTTTTTTATTCAAGCGCAAGGGTCTTTTCCTGTAAACAGATGCCAAGTTGAACACTCATTCATTTTTCAACCAGTGAACTGTCTTCTCCTTTAAAACAGAAGGACATTGGCAGAAGCCAGCAAACTCACAGGTTCCCAAACATACAGTGTTTATTAACAAGTTTATTGGGACATTATATTATTATCGCCATAAAATATGCTGTATGTAGTGCTGAAAGTTAGTTTTAGTTAGTTAGTCAGCGGCCCACTTGTCCTTTGTTACGCAGAGAATTCTGTCATTTGTCAGTCACACAGCTGGTTTCACTTGCACACTTTATTTCGTGTTTTTTAAATAAATTTTGTCCCACCACTTTTGGAAATGTGGCAACATCCCTGCATAACATATTAAAATGAATGTGATTTCTGGTTTCTCCATCCATCTTCTAAACCACTTATCCTCCTGGGTCATGGGGGGAGCTGTAGCCTATCCCAGCGGTCATTTGGCGGAAGGCAGGAAACCCATGGACAGGTCACCAGTCCAGGTTTCTTTTGTTATTAATATGTTAGCTCTAAATTTGGGTTATGAATATGTGGTCACTTCATTTAGTGGTGTATAGCAAAACCTGCAGCATGCACATTTCAACTATTGGTATCAGTCAG